CATTTAGATTAAATGTCTTTATAAAAAGAGTTCTACTTACATATCTATATGTCTTAAACATCGGCTAACAAGCGTAAGTGATTATTTAATATTCATGACATATTCATATGACGCTAAAAAAGGGATCATCCGTGTCAGAGATTAAAAATTTTAGAGACGAAAGTCACAAAGATCAATAATTCCATTAAATCTTTTACAATAGAAATCTCAGTTTTTGTCATAAATTAATCAAGATGGGCAATATCATGGTGAGAAAAAGTGTAAGCAATGGCTTAATGTAGGCGTGATAATCACAATAGTTGATGTAATAGTTATGTGAAATGTTTATCGTAGTTGGGTGTTATTCCTTTTCTGAAATATCTATTAATTCGAAAATTCGTTTCTTAAAGTTGTAGAAATTATCGTTAATGTGGTTTGTGTTTACTTAGTCTATAGTTTGACTACTGAAGATCTCAAAGAATGATTAATGTAAGAAAGTTCTAATTTTATTTCTATCCCTACATATATTAAAATGTCAATTTAAACTATAATAATCTTTATTTGTAATGATCATAAATAGTTATTAACGATCATCGTAATTATTGTAATTAAATAAAAATTTTTCCCTTCAATTTTCATCTTCATATTTATAACATTTACATTACTGTCTTTAAAACCACATATACGAATTGCTGACAAAATAATTTTGAAAACAAAATTTAGTATCCTAATTATTTATTTTAATTGCATAAAACCAGTTTTGAAGTACTGAAATTTAGAGTTCATTCATCTATCCATCAAGATAGTAAATACCAAAGCTTTCCTATAATTTTAATATTATAAGATTTTCAATGTGAGCATTCTTTCAAGAGTTTAACTTGAGATCTTACAATTTCTCTAAGACTATAGAGACTAATGGAGGAATTTTCTATTACCACTAGGGCTAAAACTCATATCTTTTATGCAAAGAAATATACAATTTCAAATAATAATATTTTACTCAGAGTAGACTGGGCAATAAGAAAGAACTGATTCCTCTACGTCGTTTGCTTGTAGGTGGCAATCCAAGGTATGGAAGCCCACTACGCTTATGCACGATATCAGCAATCAACATTATACTTTAAATGATAGCCTCTCAATGTTTCACTGAAGATATAATTCCAAATCTAGCTCTGTACGACTATTTTTACTGTAATACAATCTTCTTGGATGTCATAACTTGATGCATACCGTAGATACTTCTAATATATAATTGTCGTATATCTAAATTTCTAAACAATAGGTTACTGTCAGCTAAGCTTCATTTCTGTAAAAATCGAAGCTATGCCGGCTATTACTTTATCGAAATGGAGAACTTTCCACGAATTGCTTATATCTAGAGTGATCATTTAAAATATTTTACAGATGAAATTTGTCGAGATTTGATTGATTTGATATTTAATCAATACTTGCATGCATATTTTAGGTGATATCACGGACATTCGTAGCTAACATTATATAAAGTGAGAATAAGTGTGCAATGATGGTGTTTTATCTAGTTCAAATCTGATGCAGTTTTAAGCACTTTGTAATTGTAGAGAAAGTAGATATTAAATTAAAATACTATAAATGATGCTACATGGTACTCCTTTGTAGACTAATAGAAAAATACAATGGAATACCATATCGAACCACTTTATGCCGTAGTAGGAGGTATTTAGATTATTCTCTTGCCCGCCTCGTCGAATATTATGCCGAATCTAGACATGATGCCGAAGACAATCGATTTGATGCTATCAGTCCATCGCTTGATCATATTGATCCAACTAAATATTTATTCTTGTCTGATATAGGCATTATCCCATTACTTTCAATTCCTCTCCGTATCAAATCTTTGTTTAATTTTATGTTTTGCCTAGTAACATATTAACCTTTGCATTGAGTTCAATTTTATGATTGCTATCACTACAATGAAGTAATCAACCTATTCTAAGTATTGTTAATGAATGAATCATATTGGTAATATCTAATTTTACACTATGAATTTAATACATTCAGTCGCATTTTATATTAGTATAGATAAATATTTTTTGGGTTATAAAAAATATTTTTATTAATGATATTTCTTCTTCCTATGCCTTGATACGCTTATCTAATGATTTGCTAGGAATATTACAGTGCTTATGTGGTATTTCCTCTTCAACATTGTTGTTATATTATCTTGTAGTTGTTATAATTACTGTAATCTATAAAAGTTTGCTCTATCTCGAATTTCTTAGAGAAATTATCGTCTATTAGACATGCTTCGATGGTGCCTAACGTGATGTCTGACATCTATAATAAATTTGATTTTATACTTGAAACGGATCAATTGCTTTATTGTTTGAAGAGATTTTACAGTGAGACTGGATGGCGAACACTACAATAAGGAGTGATAAGCTTGGCAATATTAAGCTAATCTAAATTTGGCTGGAGGTAATGGCTGTACTAGATGTCGCATATTATAATGTCTACGGCTTTATTCTCAAATGAATATCTTTATGATGATTACAATCAAACTAAAGAAATATCATGGCTCCTAACCGGCGCCAGTGAATCTATTTGTCTAAATTGTGCCCTAATTATCGGCCCACAACTAGTCTAATTGACAGTCTTAAACAGATATCCATGCAGTCAACGCCTTTAGTTAATACAATAGTAGATTAAACTGTTATGGTAGTTGATATTAAAAGCTAATTTGAAGTAGGAAACGAACCCAATTTCGTTATGTGCAGTATTTTAATTAAATTTATTAATAGGTATTAATTTTATAAAATTTTGGATTGTAATTTGGTCTAGCCTTTTGAACATGATTGATTAATCATTTTCTATTATTTATGGCTATCTGTAAATTTTCAATTATCATATCTAATTTTTACTTTATGACCTATAGGCTTTAGTTAAATATATTATAGAACTAAACTATAAAGAATTATACCAAAAGAAATGCAAAGTGAATAAAAATATCAAATGCTGCCCACTGTATGTCTATTTTCAATATCGACATCATGAATGATACACGTAGACTGTATCATTGGAATTAGCTTAAATCACCTTACAGGCCATTGTTAAATCCATTATAACATCATAGTCACTACTGTAGGTGCTCTTGTCATGTCCTAGCAAGGTCTAACTTTCCATGTAATCGTAGAGTTCAAATAAATAGTATTTTAATGTTTGATACATAATTGCCGATGAAATTTGATATTGTCATTGTTGTCTACAATATTCTATCAGGTACAACATCCTATTTCCTGATCATCGAATATTTATTGTCCATGAGCTACTTTTAATTGTTAAAAGACGATTTAAGCCACTTAATTCTGCTAGTAGGGGAATCGTCGACGAGGGGATGATGTCTAGTCCTCAATGAAAGAGGATGAATCATCCATTTCTTTCAGTTCATTTGATTTGTTAAATAGATGTAAAACTTAATTATAGCAGTCGTTATTTAATTTTGCTGGAATTGATCACGATTTCTTTTTTATCATGTATCATGTATTTATGTTTTGAAGTTGGTTAATGTTATTGCCAGTTGTCATAGAGCAAGTCCTGAAATGGATGAAATCAATCAACATTGGTGCATTTTTGACGAATTACTTGCGCTTCTAATAGCGTCGTATCACGTCATCCTTCTACTCTATTTCGAATCTTTTCTTTTTCTTGTTATGTCTATACTTTATTATTATTATGACATTGTACGTTCCCAATTCTTACACATTAATATAGTATACACTATTTTATTCAACAGTTTTCAATGAGAACTATAACGTCTATTTAACAACAGTCGAAATGAACTTGTCAAGACCATGTCCTGAAGAAATAGATTTAAATGTCTACGACTTTTGGCGATACGTCTACGTCATTATGATAATTATTTTTTTATGACGTATATATAAGAATTATAATGAATACACCAGTTTTCTATAATGCCCTGTAGTCAAAAGCCGCGAGCCAAAAGGAAATTATTCATATGTTTATAGTAGTTGATATTGCATATTAAGATGATATCAAGCCGATGATAATCATAAAACACCTTTAAAATATGTACAAGGGAACATCAAGATTGACACCAAAGCAACAATTGTTAACAAGAATAAGAGTTCAACGGTGATGGTCTAATAAATAATAAATTTAAAAGAACGATAGGACAAAACCTAATTTTAAGACACTAATTATTTTTGTAAACTATCAAAAGATTTGCCGAAAGCAAATATTTTAAGATATATGCTCGTATGCACAAAATTATTAAAATGCTGTTTTAGTTAACAGTGCTGATACTCCTGGAAAGAGTTTTACCAACAAAATAAAGGGGTATTTCATTAAATTGAAGCACCGAATATTACAAATATCAGTGACTAAAGCTTAACAACAATTACAGATATAAATGCATTCTATAATCTATTTCTATGTGTCCATCATTAGGTCTGCTTAGCGAGTCATGTACTTCCTTTATAGGCAACGAATGCGACATGCATCATGTATATCAGTATAGGACATAAATCGTGAACAAGCAATGTTTATGATTCTATACTAAGATCATACTATAGACTGACTAGGCTAGCTATGGCACTAAGATATTTCGTTAGAACTACAACTGAATTTGTATTATTGTGTTGCATAGACCAATTACACCCAAATAAGAACTTTACCTGTACATGCACATATTTATACGGGCAAAACTATAGTATGCATCTCCGACATTGACGAACAATAAGGTATACTAATTATGGATACAGTACCATTACACATAAATGGTTTAACGATTCAGCAACCAATACAAGAAATCTTTTTTAATAATTACACTTTAAGATATATGAAAAGTTGTTAATAATCTTACCGGTAATTAGAGGTAGTGATACCATTCTTTCATTCGAAATTGTATCGTGCTATTGCACGGTCGACTTTAACAATTAGTACAGTAATAGGTCATTATAAATTTAGACTGTATACCATGAAATACACCATAATTAATAAATGGTTCGGTACAGATTTTTAATTAACTAAGAAGTGTCAAGTTCTATCATCAATTGATCATTATCAGATTCATCGGAACTTTGGTCTACTTGTTTCGTAGTATTATTCAAGGGGCTAGAGGTAGCTTGCTGTAGTTCACTATTTTCGACATTGGATTCATTGTGACTCGGTTCACCTGCTACAGTCTGTTGATCTTCAACCTTAACAGGCTTTTCATTATTTTCTCTCTGATCTTCTTTACTGGGAATGGGCAATTTCTTCTTAACTTCAAAACGTATCCAGTTATATCTCGTACACTTTTTAGCTCCAGGACAGTTCTGAATCAGATTCTGTATTACCGGTATCGAAATTCCAAAAAATTCGGGACCGGATAACGGAATGAAACTAATTTCTTTATCTCTGTAAAATAGATTTCGACAAGACCTTTACTAACATGTAAAATATAAGGTATATCTATAGAACCAGGTTTAGTGCTAATAACTTATAATTAATCAAATTGTATACGAGTGTATTAATTCCTTCTAAAGAGATCATTTTAAATTACAGCTCAGGTAAGTATTAATAATATCGTATGCAACGTCTGCATTAGCAGATGAATACAATAGGGATATGTTTTGCAGGATTTTACGTAATTTGATATGCATCTAACATTACTTACGGAAACTTCTGAATTTCTTCAAGAATAACCTTATTCAGTTTTGCTACACACTTGTCAGGAGAAGATGCCTGAAATATAACATCGGCAGCATCTGCCAGGGATATTTCAAACTGATGGATAATAAAACATGATATATGTGGTAAGTTTCTCTGCTAACGTTTCAACTCTTGAAATGCAACGCTAACTTACAACAATGAAAATACTTACTTTTGGTTCGGTATTGCCCTCGCTAATAGTAGACATATAATTTATATTTTCGGCTGGCGCAGTGGTTGATGGGTAACTTCTAGAGCTACAGTAACCGACAGGATAAATAAAACTTTCTGAATGATAGCTATCTTTGTCGTGGACTATTTTACCCAAGCTGTGAACTCTTAGTTCGTTTATAACTATCGGTATGACAGGTTTTCCAGAAGCATCAAGCTCTATTGGATCTATAGGAACTTTAACAGTTGATTTCGATTTCTTTGCTTTGGTCTTTGCACCTTTCATTAAAACGTTGTTGATATCTTCCAAAGTCAGTTTTTTAATTTTTCTCTTGCCTTTCGACTTAGCTGGAGGTATTGGTAAAGTTGATTTACTAATTTCAGTGCCAAGAAATACTCTAGCCATATATGGAGTGACAAAATCATCGGGTAAATGAGTTGTGGTATTAACGTTAAATGGTAAATTAGCTGCAGACATGCTATCACTCTGATCTAGGCGAGATACAATTAACTGAAACAATCGTTTAAGTAAATATTTTCTTTCAACCCGCCCTGCAATCAATTTTTCCCGCAAACGATCAATTTCGTCGGCCATGGCAGCATTTTCCTGTCACGATAGTGTAATTTTAGTCGTGAGTAAACGTTTATTATTACTAGTATTACATTTTGTTTCTTACAGCCACATTATCAACTAATTTTAACGATACTGAAGCTATACAGCCATAATGGCGTAGTTAATTTGCTGTTGCTGTACAAAAATTGAATTATTAGTGTCCCATTTCGCCCATTGTCACTGTAACATAAAGTAAGATTAGCATCTAGGATTGTAGACAAGTCTCGATCACTATAGTCAGTCGATGTTAATTATTTAGTAAACTACTATGGCTTCATTAGATACTAAGATCAGCCGTTATAGGGGTTAAGATAAATAGATCTACAGAAGGCCACGATTTTGCTTCAGTAGCCACTTACAGTATACATAAAGAGTGGTGCGATTAAGAATATCTTTGAAGCTAAAATATCCTCAGATTATTTACTCGGGGTAATTTTTGCAATAAATGTATTTGACTATGACTAAATTGTTGCATAAATGTAATTGATGCAATAGGTTACGGTTTTTAAGTAATAGCATGTAGGCAAATCGAGCTAACAAGACTTTGTATTCCAACTGAGTAGAAGAGCATAATATTGTAATAGACACGTTCTCTATAGTATCTATAGAAGATTGCATATTACTACCTCCTAGTAATTAATAATATTGGTTTACAGAGTTGGTATTTTTAGTTGTCTACACCTGAACCAAGCTATAGCAACAATAATATGAGCTCATACAGTGGTATCACAGCACGTCTTGTCAATGAAAAAAATTCAGTTAATCAAATAGTACACGCGATAATCATAAATATTGAATTATTACTGTATTTTTGTTAGGATATGTTTTTTATTCTTACATGTAAAATCTCTTTGATTCGTCTAGAAAATCCACGAAATTTTCTGTTATAAAATTCATCTCCTCTACTGGCGGATGATTTTTTCTTCTTTTTTTGCTTGCGATTCTGTTAAATAGTAATGTCAATAAGTTTGAAGTTTGAATAAGCAATAGTTATGGGGATTTTTGATGTCAGCGTTTTAGTTGTCTACAGACACTAAATATTTTAATTTCTTTCAATTGTATGCGTTTTAGTTCTACAGCAGAGCAAGTTATTTATAAAAGATCGAGATATAATATTATACAAAAAAATTAAAGATGGCCTGATTATAGCATTGATGTGTATCCGGGTCTAATTTTGAGTAGTATAGTGTCAACTATGCTACTGACACAAAATTAATTTGGTTCGCTGCAATTTTCAACAAATTACGGTAAGGATAGACAGCAGTTAAATCATTCAGTAGATAGTTGAAATAGCTAAGGAAATGTATGTTCGTAGATTGCCACTTTGCCAGCAACTAACTACAGAATAACTCTTGCGTCCACTTGTAAAATAGAATGAAGTTCTGCAGAAATGCAGATTATATAATGGAGTTTGTAGGTGATTGAATACGGGCTTCTACTTTTATTCTTGAGTAGAGCAACGTAGCTTTATTGCGTAGGGTAAGTGATGAACTTGCGTCAGTGCAATTTGTACTTGCATGATTGGATTTTATCTTCAATGTGGATAACTGTAATATTGTGCTGGATAACAAATTCATCATTACGGTTTGTTGTGGTCAATGATGTTACGTGGAAGTCCTATACAATAGTGTAGGTAAGCATCTATATAAGTGCAATTTTTACTTGTATGATAGGGATTTACGTTCAGTGTGGATAAACTATAGCATCGTGATGTCCATCCGATTCGTTAGTATGATTTACTGTAATCGATGCTGCGGTATCGTAGTTATTTGCAGTAGTACAAGTTATGGGTTGTGTCAACTAATATTTGCATGATGATGGTGAATAAGTATGACTTTATAATGTATCTATCCAATTAGTTTTTATGGTTTATTGTAGTCTATGCTGCTATGTCAGCAGATCCCCTGAAGAGGTGATTGAGCGTAGAAAACTGTGTAAAGGAGAATTTCATCATTTCATGAACGTCCATCGATCGACGTAATCTGCTGGAGGCTGAAGAGTTTCAACGATTAGCCCATGTAGTCATCAATAATTTTGATACCTTACTCATGATTTGATTTGAATAAAACAATAATGTGAAGTAGGAATGAAGGTTGAGGATTTACTAGAAGATCAATATTAAAATATTGCAGTCTTGCAACGTGTATTCTATTCAAGTAGCCAATATCAAAACCATCGCCATTGGGCCCCGGTTCTATCAGTTCATCAACACCATGATCTCTTTGATAATACTAGCATAAAAGTTGAGCACCATGACATTAAGAATATAACATGCATTTCTTACCTTTTTT